ACACTTCAAATGACTGCTAAATCGACCGCCACCTACAACACGCCCAACAATACCAACAACGGAAGCAGAACAACCAGTATACTTCGATCCCCCGACGAAATCAAAAGTCCTGAATGCAATCAAGATGCTAAAAGCTGTAAAAGCAGCAGGACCAGATGGGATCTCAGCAGAAGCATTGAAAATGGACCCAGAGACAACAGCGGACTTGATGACGCCACTACTGGAGAAGGTGTGGAAAGAGGGCAAAGTAACCGAGGATTGGAAGAAAGGATACTTATTCAAACTACCAAAGAAAGGAGATTTAAGTCAATGTAAAACTGGCGCGGAATTATGCTCCTGTCCATTCCAAGCAAGATACTCAGTCGCATCATCCTGGAGAGAATCCAACAAGCCACCCTGGATGAAAAACTTCGTCCGGAACAGGCTGGATTCAGGAGAAACAAATCATGTATTGATCAAATCGCCACTCTACGGATCATCATTGAACAAAGCTTGGAATGGCAGTCACCTCTCTATCTCAACTTCACCGACTTTGAAAAGGCCTTCGACAGCGTCGATCGAGAGGTCATTTGGAAACTACTTCGCTACTACCAAGAGGTGCCGCCGACAATTATACATCCCATCCAACAGTTGTACGACAATGCTGCATGCCAAGTAATCCACAACAGGAAACTTACGGAAACCTTCAAAGTGAGGACGGGAGTAAGGCCTACTACCGCCAATGATTTTCCTGATTGCAGTAGATTGGATAATGAGACAGACAACGGGCGATGGGGAAACAGGCATAAAATGGACTCATACAAAAAATCTGGAGGATCTGGATTTCGCCGATGACGATATATGTCTGATTTCCCACAAACTGGAAGATATGCAAGTGAAAAGCAACAAGTTGGCAGAAGAAGCACCAAAGATAGGAAGGACTTCAGGTGAACATAGAGGATGCAAAGGTGATGAAGATTCCTAACCAACACCTACGGCAACAACAACAGACAACAATCAGCCAGCATGAATGGGGGGAACCTGAAAGAAACAACCTCGTTTACCTACCTACATGGGAAGCATAGTTCCAACTACAGGTAGAATCGGAAAAGCAAGGCAAGCTTTCATTACTCTTAAGTCTGTATGGAAGTACAAACACTCAGCATGAAAAATAAGATCCGGATTTTCAACTCCAATGTGAAGTCAGTGCTGCTTACTGTACGGATCAGAGACTTGACCAGCGCGTCATAAAGAGCATCTCCAACAAATTTCAGACCTTCATCAACAGTTGTCTTCGCTCGATACTCAAGATCAGATGGCCGGCCAGAAAAGATCACCAACAGGGATCTCTGGAAATGAGCGAAGCAACCCATTAGGAACTGATTGTGAAATAAATAAGCAGGAAGAGGTGGAGATAGATTGGTAATACTCTGAGAAAACAAACCATAAAGTTATATCACTAGACAAGCCACCGCTCTAATGGAAACCGAAAGGGAAGCGGCGAGTTTTTCGTTAGTGCAAGGGTGACTTGAAGGAGGTCATGTGAAGAGGAGATGAAAGCATGTGGGCAGACCTGGAGCGGGGTGAAAAAGTTGGCAGAAAACCGAACGCAATGGAGACGTAATCGGCTGAAGCCCTATGTCAGCCACGTCTCATAAACCGTTAATGCCCAGCTCTTGCTACGCTCGGGCCCACGCTGTTCCTTGCAGTTTCTCAGAAACGCTTAGTAATAACGGACGAAAAAACCAAAAGATCGCTTGCTGACTCGAGGATTCTTTATTGTTACACCAACATATAAAAATAATGTTTTTACTAGGGTCTGTGAACAAATATTACAATAATAAATCACAATATTACTTCTGATGGTTTACTGCTGACTTCTTTCTGAACAGCGACCGATGAGACGATGACTGTCGTATTGATGCCTCCGCGAAAATTGGGGAAGTTGGTTTTGAGCAAACAACAATGAATTGATCGTTCAGTCTTCAACTCCATTGGCACCCTATGTTTCTCCAGGAATTAAGGGATATTACAATATAATAATAAATTACTGAAGGGTATGAATAACGCAGAAGTATGTGGAGACGACTTGGCTGTGTATAGTGAGACACAAAGTGAATCCATCTTGAAGAGAACTGATGAATTTAAACTGCGCACTAATAAGATAAAAGGCTAAATAGCCAAAACCACTGTTTTCCTGCTGGATCATAGTGTTAAATGGAAAAACACATCCATTACCAGAGAAAATCCTGACCGTCAAAACCAGTGTAGTACTAAATTCGGAACGAAAGCCAAGACAGTTTTTAGGAAGTGAGGTATTCTACAAACGGCTGGTCAAAAATTTCAATGATATAGCGAGACCTTTATATAAGTTACTGCGCAACGCAAAATTCATGAGGACAGCGGGGGCACAGCAAGAGTTTGACCAAGTTAAAGAGCTGTCAGATGATAAACAGTTGACACTGAAGCTGCCAGTACCCGAGAAGTAGATCACAGTTTCGACAGACATCAGTGATTGAGGTATGGGTGCCGTTCTAAGACAAACGGTTGGGGTTGCTGAGTATGATAGTCATGTGTTGACACCTGCAGAAAAAAACATTCTACGGTCGTATAGGCACCAGAAAAATGGACACCATACATAGTCGACCGCCGATTCCACATTCAGACTGACCACAAATCTCTGCAGTGGTTGAAAACGACAAGGGACTCACGGGGAAGTCGTCACAATGAGTGTTAAGCCTACAAGAGTGTGATTCCACGATAGGATATATTCCAGGAACAAAAAATGCAATGGCTGACAACTTCACAAGATCAGTTGATGAGGCCGAACTACCAGAGTTTGTAAGTGCAGAGAGGATTTTGGCCCAGGATCCACCAGAAGTTGGATCCCACTCTTAAGACAGTCTTCCGGTCGACAAGTGAAGGCACAGATATCAAGACATCAGCGGAGAATACAGAGTTAAGGACATAGCTGCATCACAAACATAGACTAAAACTAAACACTTACGGAGCCCTAACTTGGTAAAACAATGATGTTAGCTGGGTTAATGTGACGCAAAAGAGCCTTCGTCGTGAGGTTATTCAAGAAAGCCACCAACTAGACCATATAGGCGTTGCACGGCCATTAGATCTAGTGAGCAAAAGCGCGTATTCGCCATATATGAGGAGCGACATCACAAACCACTTACTCGCTTGTCCACTGTGCCAGCTGATAAAGGGTGATCATTTCACTGGACTGCCACAGACGACTCCCGTAACATCAGTCGGCCACTTGCGGTCATCGGAAATAATGGGTTCTTTCCCTCATAGATCCAGTGGAAATAAATATATTTTGGTGATGACGGAACACGCTACCTAGTGGATAAATGGCATGGCGATTCCAGATCAACGCACCAAGAAGGTAACTGGAGCAGTAGTTCAATATATTGTGGCGGATCATAATGTACCAGATATGGTATTAACAGGACAGGGTCCCTGTTTTCAGAGTGAATAGTTCAAGACTCGTATGGAGGCATTGGGATTTAAAAGTATTAGAGCAACGTCATATCCTCATAGAATGTGTATTTTTAATTTTTTTGTCGTTTTTTGAATAAGTTAGATGCAATATTGTACTGAATGCTGAAAATTCCTTGCTGTATCATTAGTACTATTTTTGGAATAAAGCAAAAATTATTATTATTATTATAAGAAACGGCCCAACAGGAAGAAATAATAACACACTCAAGAAGTGGCTAGATGCGAAGAAAGGCAACTGGGAAACTTATCTGCCGTTGGTATTACTACCACACCGGGCCACAACAAAGGGGATAACGAATAAAATCGCTGTTCCAGCTAATGTATGGGAGGAAACCACACTTGCTTGTGCATAATGAGACTTGGCCACAACAACATTGGAACAGTGAGAGATAGACAAGTGAACGGGAACAGACTATTCAGAATATACAAGTGAAGCGGAAGGCAGATATGGAGAAAGCTGGCAAGAAACAAAGGGAAGCTTGAGAGCCATTTGAATTAGGCGTTCAGGTGAAATATAGAGAACGAAAGTATGCTACCGGAGGCGGACCAGGGTCAGGAAAGCTTCTCACAAAGCTAGGGGACCATATGCGGTCACATCGAGACGTGGTCCAGTGTACACAAAAAAGAAGAGAGATACAGAAAAAATAGTAAACGCCAGTCCGCTCCAAAGATAAACACAAGAATGTCAAGACGAGAAACCCTCATTAGTACGTCTTTAAACTAACAATTTTAAGTCATGGAAGACCAAATAGTAGTGGGGAATATTCTTGTTTCCATACACACTACACCAGAACTGGCCTCTCCCATTCACAGAAACAATGCTTTTCCGGATAACGCTGGGGGGGAACGAGAAATAAGTGCTAACTATGTATGAGATTCAACCAAACATGCGCCGACCCTCTTCTTTGATTAAAAATTGCCAAATACTCTGAGATGTGAGTTGTTCCTGCAGTTGTGAGAAGTGTTGTTGCATCACAACCTTGAGATACAGAGAGACGTCAGATTTGTGTAGGAGGTAGAAAAGATTAACTGAGGCTGTGATATGACTAAAGTGCTGGCTGAATGACGCTTGATTGGGGAAACCGGATTAATTGTGTAATCACTCAATGGTCTCTGAACTAAGATTGATGCGGTTGCTGCCTAGAAATTAGTGTACAGATGAAACAGCCAGATGAACATTTCACCAAAACTCAGGTTTCTATAGAAAAGTTCTCAAAATACTCAAAGTCATTGCATGGTATGGAGAAATAAAAATGAAGAAAGCAATCGCCTCATATAAGTTAGATGCAGGATACAGATCAATCAAAGAGATTGATAGACTAACTATACTGACATTCTTCAGAATGAGAAAATGTGTTCGCTATCAATATCACATATATATAAGCGAACTTCGTTCACATAAGCCTATAACAAGGATGCAGGGTATTGGGACCTGGAACCTCTACCTCACAATCAAGAAGCGAGCTCAAAGAAATCACTGGTTTATACTAGCTCGTAATCAGGATATTGGATATTGGGACATTGAGCGAAGAGTAGCTAAATTTGATGTGTTGCGTTTCGATATGCCAGAAATTGTCCCAAATAGAGTTGTTAGCTTTACGAGTGAGGACAAGGTATGTCAACGCCACTAAATTACAATCTTTTGACCTCGGATACATTCGCGTATAACTAATTATAGTGGTTAATGTATGTTTCCAATGATATATTGGAAAGTAGGTCATATATATCAACGTGTGGCTATTAAAGCTTACAAATTCACACAGTTAATCAACCTTGGAATTAATTTTTCTCAGGTAGTTCACAAGAAAGTGGTATTAATGGATAAAGCATCTGATTTATCTGAAATATGCACTTGCATCTTAATCCACTCAATTGAGTGGATTTTTCTACAGACAGTTAAATAGAAAAGCCAATAAAGATGTGTTCTTGAATTTTCGTTCAACAATACTGATGCAAACTGATCTACTGACGTCGATATACGTGTTATTGTAAATATTACACTGGTATGTCAGTCTGCTATATAGCAGATTAAGTATATATTTAATATGCATTATCGGATGTGTTGATAAGCAAGCGACGTGATAACTTTTTTTTTGTATCTGAACTCGATCTTCACGTAGTTTCTGTTGCCAGCACTAGGAGGTTTTTGATGTCACCTGTCCTGGTTCTGGTGGATGTAGGTTAATTGCAGTACTGTGGTTTAATATTCATAGTCTAGGCTTGTTGTAAACTTAATTGCAGTTTATGACACCCAATAATCTTATCATATATATCACTAGTTGTGCCCTTTTTTATTGTGAAGAAGGACAAATTAAATAGTATGCTGCAATTACTTATTTAGCATAGGGTCATGCTGCTCTATATTGCTCTGATAGTATTGCTGTCTTATTTAGTTACTCAGGTTTCTGCTGCATACATCACTTATATGTGCTGTTGAAGTCACTAACATTCATATGTACTTGAATGTATAGCAGCATATCTTTACTACTATAACCTATGCCTCCGTCATCCCGAAAGCAGATATCCTTGCTCAGGGGATATGTTGAAATAAGCTGCTTTATTGCTACAACAGTTGACCTATTTCAAACTTATTCATTTGGACCACAAAGGGTTTCTCAGAATCACGGTCTTTGTGAACAGTAACTCATTGTTATATTAATAATAATAATTTAAAGAAGAAATATTATATTGTGTCAGTAGTGGCGAAATATCACGTCCCAGGTTTGCGAACGCTCCAGTCACCTCGAACCCATACTACTCGTTTGATAACAGGTCTTACCATTATTATTAGAGCTCCAATGCGAATACCGTCCACGAATTAAGGTGTAAATTTCACATTGATCACGCTCTTAAGTACTGTTTGGACAATGTATTAATAGTTCGTGACTTATGACCTTCAATGAAACTGTTTTGTATTTCTTTATTACTCCTTTGTCTCACACCTCTGCTCACTGTTTCTATTATGCTTTTCTTGTACTTTCTTCTCTTGCTTCGCGTGCTACACGGAATGTGGCGACTTGAACTTCCGCACATTTGTGCAAAGTTCTATGTGGAAAACAGACAGACAGACAGTTCGTTAGGGTTAGGATTATGGTTATGTTTTGGGTTGGTATTATTTATTTTAATTTTATTATCCTCATTTTCCTAGTAAGTAATCCTCGGTTCTATCACTGGAAACTGTAATTGTTCAACCGAAAGGTTTTGGGGAAGACTGCAAAACAGGATAAGAGTATTGAACGGGTCACAAATAAGCTAATCTTCAGTCACCTCAATGAATACATGTAACTGGTCTATAATTCAGAGCTATTTTTAAGTCATTTCATACCCTGTTTGATGTATTTTTATGCATTTTCTTGTAAATAAGCGTCACTTTTTGTGCGACAATCACTTATTTTCATGATTGGCCGGCTCAAGGTCACTCGTGAGTTCGCATACCATGAGATGTGATACTTCAACTTTTCCTGGGTGGTCATCCTTGTGTTTTCTACAACATCCTTATTTTTTCTTGTACTTCAACAATGCATAAACGTTGCTATTATTAAAAAAACAGTTCTCTCAACCTCAAACCTAAGTAACTTCGCTAATAAATTATGTAGTTTTATAAGGTGAGGGAGTTTAGACTTTTACATAGTGTGCGATATGTACAATGCAACTTCTTATAACCACGACTCTTACACCGAATTAGTCTCCTGCAGAATACAAAGCATAATTTGGCATCAAAATTGTGGTGCAAAAATGACCGTATGATGAAGGGATGAACGTAATACGAGGGCCTACCAAAATGGAGTAGATGAGACTGACCGTGAGCATTCGGCTTAGCGAGTTGTCTTCAACAATGAAACTTGTCATCCAGCGATGAATACTGTTGGCTAATAATTTTGGGGAATTGTTTACCACCAAATAGCAATGCTAAATTTGAGACCTGGACGTTGGAAGTGGAAGACATGAAAAGCGTGGCAAGCTGTCTTTGATCATAGGTTCCTGCATTTTATCTCCCGTGTGAAGTGGTATAAAAGGGTAAGCAATCTAGAGGTTAGACATCGGTCGAGTGCTAGGTTAGGAGGGGAAATCAATAGACGAGGCTGTGAAGTTACATTGATTGAGGTGGTTAGGATACGGTACGTACGCCTAGCCATTGTCTCCGTCGACGGACAATGTTAGCTGATATAGGATGAACCAGGTTGAAAAACATCTTGTGGTGGTCAAAGGGAAAGATGGCTTCATCAGTCAATGAAATCCACATTAGTTAGATTAGGCCAGCCACGTAGGGCTGTCTAGTTGGAGTCCTCTGGACGGTAACCACCAATAAAGGCTGGAGACGATTGGCGATATGGCTCAAAATCGTTCTCAATGGCTGGCATAGATACATCTATTCCTTGTGACTTGTTATATCCAATAAAACTATTCTGTTCTTCGGTGTTACTATTATTTTTGCCTCATATCTCTGTTTACTGTCTCTATTTCGCATTACTTTTTACTCTAATCTCTTGCTCTGTGTGCTAAGTGAAGTGTGGAGACTCGAATTGCTGCACATCTGTGCAAAGTTCTACGTTGAAATCAGTCAGTCAGTTACTTGCTATATAATCAGGTTAGAAAAGACGCAAAGGTCGCTTCATCAGTCAATGAAATCCACAACAGTTAGCTGAAGCCAACCACGTAGGAAGGTGTAGACTTCTTGGCTGGTTGAGGTCCTTGGGAAGGTAAAAACCAATGACGGCTGGATACAATTGGTGATGTGGCAAGGAATCTTTATCAATGACTAAGGCAGTTGCATCCACTCCCTGTGACTTGTTATATCCAATAAAACTTTATTGTTTTTCCATATCACGATTCTTTTCACCTCATATCTCTGTTTATTATATCTGTTTTTAATCTCTTTTTACTTTCATCTTTTGCTTTCTGTGTTAAGTAAATGGTGGCAACTCGAAGTGCTGCACCTCGGTGCAAAGGTCTATGTTAAATCCAGTATTAAGTTTGTGGATCATGAACCAGTAATACTTTCTATTATTTATGATGTTTTATCTATTTTCACTGAGTACTTACCTCAAATGACGAGGTAGTTATGGACCACAAGGGTTATAGGTAAATAAGGTAAACAAATTTGTTAAGTTTTTGAACAAAGCAAGAACTACAGTTTTAGCAGAATAATGTGGTACCATCATTTATTTCGTTGGCTTCTCATCAGCTGCTTACAGCCTAAATAAATTATGAGGTTTAAGTACAGACATGTTTTAACATGCAAATTTTACATGTCGTCAGTTGACAGAAAATTCCACATGGTCCGAGGTTCGATCCCCTGCCGACGTACTCCTGATATCTATGGTCGGCCTGCATAATTTGGGCTACCGTTATTCATGCTGAAAATTCCATGCTTGTACCAAAAATACAGTGTGGAATCAAGCTGTAAATCAAAAATAAATAAAAATATGCTCCATACAATTAGTAAACAGTGCTCAGAAGATTGCGCTTATATAGTTTTCACACAGGCAGTTCAAGTTAAAACAAAATAAATGTATGCAGAAAATGGTAAAGGAGTTACGTAATAAAGATGAGATGTGCGTTAGACGCACAGTGACTAGTAAGTTAGGTAACAATGTACTGAGTTGAGCTCAAATCATAGAAACAAGAGACAAGCAAAATTATAGATTATAAAGGGGGGTGAGGTTAAAGGCAAAGATTACGTAATCAGATGAGAGAAAAAAAGGCATCCAGTTACCAGGCTGGGCAAGGAAAGACTAATAACTGCTTCTTTCTGAACACATAGATCTGGTTTCAAGCGTTTGATAGAAATCGCTTCAGCAAACTTAGGGAGAATTGAGCTCTTTTGCCTATTGATAATTTTGAGCGACTTTTCAACGTCCACCTCACGACCCGTGTCGAGGATATGCCTGGCGATTGCACTGTTTAAAGCATTTGTTCCCTTTAGACGTAAGCTTTTTGGTACGTGTTCAGAAAGTCGTAGATTACGTAATTTTTGTCTTTAACCTCACCCCCCTTTATAATCTATAATTTTGCTTGTCTCTTGTTTCTATGATTTGAGCTCAACTCAGTACATTGTTACCTAACTTACTAGTCACTGTGCATCTAACGCACATCTCATCTTTATTACGTAACTCCTTTACCATTTTCTGCATACATTTATTTTGTTTTAACTTGAACTGCCTGTGTGAAAACTATATAAGCGCAATCTTCTGAGCACTGTTTACTAATTGTGGAATTTTCTGTCAACTGACGACATGTAAAATTTGCAAGTATGTTAAAACATGTCTGTACTTAAACCTCATAATTTATTTAGGCTGTAAGCAGCTGATGAGAAGCCAACGAAATATTTTTTTTGATTACTGCTTGATTCCACACCGTATTTTTGGTGCAAGTATGGAATTTTCAGCATGGATATCGGTAGCCCAAATTTCGCAGGCCGACCATAGATATCAAGGTGTGCGTCGGTGTGGGCTCGAACCCCGGACCATGTGCATGGTCGGCGAGAGTCCTAACCACTGTGCCACCGACGCAAATGATGGTACCACATTATTCTGCTAAAACTGTAGTTCTTGCTTTGTTCAAGTTCATTAAGAGGAATAAATGTATGAAATTTGTTAAGTTCTGTAAAGCTCTTCACTGCTATTCTCTGTGTAAACCCGTTTAGATCACTTAAATATGATCTTTTAACACTGCAAAGTGCTTATAGTCAACAAGATATCGGAGAAGAGATTTCATTATAACATGTACACTTGTTCTTTGTCATCTCTTCTACTTTTGACCGCCTATCATTCCACCTTACTCGTCTTTTGTACTAAGAAGAAATCTATGTAGATTATCCATTATATATTTGGCAGTCATATTGAAAATGTATGGAATGAAGTATATATATTTATAAAGCATACCACATATCTTGTCAATATCCGGGTCTTACTACACTGGACCTCACGCTGTCCTTGAAAGACTTTCAGAAACAATGTGTAATAACCGACGCGAAAACCAGAACACAGATTGGCGACTCGAGAATCCTTTGTTCTTACGCCAATATGTAACCAACAGTAAGGTCTAAGAATAAATGTTATAACAATAGATCACAATAATACTTCTGATAGTTTTCTCTCTTCCAACGAACAACGAACGATGACTGCCGTATTGATGACTCCCACGAAAAATATGGAGTTGGGTTTGAGCAAACAACCATGAATTTATCGTTCAATCTTCAACTACATTGACATATCTCTATTTCAACATTTATATGATATTCATAATTGAAATTGAATTGATTCTCACCGACATTCCTTCCATTTTTAGGCATTTCCTGCATCCAATCTATTAAAAGGATCATCATTTTCAAAATGGCGTTGCCTTACCGGTGGAACAAAACAAGAAGCAGTGGAATTCAGTGTAAACAAAAAAATACCATAAATGCCTAACCATAAACTATTTCTAGTTCTCAGAACCTGTTGAAATTTCACGCATAGACATTGGAAATAATGGTTCTGCTTTTATTGAAGTGTTGGTGCGAAGATCTGCTTCCTCTGAAGATCCGTCGGTAATTATCCCGATTTAGAGTGGGGTTTCCTTTACTTCTTTTTTTTGTTTATTTTAGGTACTTCTTCCATCTTCATCTTTTATGTCTCCAGTGGATGCAAAAAATGAGACTAATCTGAATCGTGTCCGTGTATTTAGTGGAGATCAGTTCACCAAATCGGTTGCTAGTCAAAAATGGGATATTGTTAAATTTGTCTGCTCTCAACCATTTAACAAAACACTACAGTATGGTATTTCTTTTGTTTTCTTTCATACTCCTGCTACGTCAAATCCTCAAGCTGATGTGAGTTTTGTGGATTTTAAAACAATTCTAATGATGTTTTTAGAATAATAAAGAAATTAAAGTTGATAGCTTGATAAGTGAGGAAGATACGGATTCACCTGAATTCAAACCGGGATCACTCTTTCAGGCTTCACGTCAGACAGTATCTTGCAGTCAAGATAGCTCGGAATCTAAATCCTCGGGTAGGATTCATCTTTTTTTTTTAGGCCTAACATTGAATATATTTAGTTTCAGACAAACTTATTGCTGCTAAACAGTCAACGAATGTAGCAGCTACTGGTAAATCGACATCTATTTTTCTTTGTTAATGTGTAATTATTCTCTTTAAAAATTTAAAACAATTAGTTCCCTTTATGAATTCAGATAAGGCAATAAGAAGACGTAATTTGTCTGAATCGTGTAATGTATTTGCGTGCAACACATTTCGAACAGTCTGATCCTGCACACACGGACTTGTCATAGGAATATACACGTGAAATTAATAAAGAGGTAAGAGGTGAGAAAATAGACTTGGGTCAAATTAAAAGGACATATTGAGGGGTCAAAATAACAATGAAGACCACTAAACCAAATAGCAGAGGTAATAGTACATCTACCCTGGCTGGTGTATAAAAACAAAATTTACCATGGAAGGTTTAATGTGATGACAAATTGTTTTTGAACGCATAAAGGTGGCTTAAACTTTTTAATTGCTAGCTAGGGCTTCCACAAACTTTAGGATACGCCCCCAAACACGTTTTATGAATCGATAGGTTTAAAAGATCTGTTAACGTCAATTTTATGTCCTGTCTTTATAATATGTTTCGCAATAGAAAAGCTCGGTCTCCTGTGCTCATCATTAATGGTTTCTGAAGATTCCATTTGTTTCTGGAGCCATTTAGGAATATCCTCTGAAGCTAGTCCTTACTTGCGGAGATTGATAAGTCAAAGACTGAACGCTGCTGTTAAACAGACTTTTTATGCAGCTAATTTCATAATAATTGAGAATATGAAGCCAATATATCTCTATCTAAGCCTTTTGAACATGCCAAAAATGATGGATGTCACATCCCACACTGTATTTGCCGACTTGAATATACATGTGGACACACATATATAGGGAGGACTCATCGATCTCTGCAAGGAAGTAAGGGTTGTCTTCTCTATGCTCACTTAGCCCGACCGAAAGCTGCTACCTTGACGTGGTGGTCGGGCTTGAACACCGCAATGACCTAATCAAGCTATACTGGCTGAGACTTATGTCTCTTGAGGTCCTACCATGCCAGGCAGGTTGTTTGGAAAGCGGTTAAACAAAAAGCAGCTACCCAATCCAACATCATGACCAATACAAAATTTCATGCCGGATCGGCCGTGGCCCGGATTAACAACGACCGCGCTTCCTGCTGCCGTGTCACAGGGCAGGAGTGATAAATATGCTACTGAGGCACACAAAACAACAAAGAACAAACAAAAACAGGCCGCGTGTGACCGGCCTCAAGCAGTTGTCCCCTGGGCTCTGCGGTCACGCAACCAACTTCCACGGTGTGGGCAGCCGGGAAGTAACAATCGCCCTCACAATCCGAAACGCACGCGAAACCTCTCTACTACTCACTCATCTTTGTTTTCATCTTCATCTCTATCATCTTGCCTTCCTTCCACTGATGCAACTCCTCGACTTGATAGCTCACTCAGAGTCATGTCTACTCTGTCTCTTCTTGCAACTGGTTGGTTTTCACCTGTAAATTTTGTGTGACATAAGACATATATATATATATAATAGAGAGGTAGAGTCGTACAGTCAACGGATCGTATACCTTCTTATGACTCAATAACCTCACGTGATATTAGGTTATAAAGAATTATAAATAAATACATTGGCGGTAGTACATTTGTATAGTTGAGTTAGCTTTTTCAGTCAGTTGTCCTAGCATGCAAAACTCTCTGCTTCCAATTACAATTAATTAATCACTGTATGTAGCTTCAATGTAGATGAATGTAATCAAATTATTGGAAAATAGATAAGGTCTAACTATATTATGGTTAAATAAACGGCATTTGCGAGGAGATTGTGAATCCTATGACATGACACCTGAAGATTAGCAAGGGTGGTCACTGTGAAATGATAGGCCGGTTAGTAGGAGAGTTTCGTAGCCCTTGCGGATAGGCCTGTAGACTATTAAGTAGTCTAAAGGTTTCTGGTTAGTATCCTACGGCAACCTTGGCTTTCATTTCAGCTTCGATTATTATGTGAACAACGGTCTGCTAAGGAATGTCTCTTTGGTAGTCTCATCATTGATTCCATAAACATCATTGCAGTGGTTTTGTGAGGTTAGCATTTCTTTTAGAAGACAGATATCTCTTTTTGTTTTAAGTTGTTCAGTGAAAGTATTCATTACAGTCCTACTGGAGGTCAAACACTAGCTCAAATAGCTCAATGATAACTTCTCTGACTATACTGCACTGGTTGACCAGGGTTCGAATTTCATCAACGGACATGGATTCCTTCATGAATGCAGATATAGTTTACTGACCAATACCAACAAGCGTGAAACCTAAGTCCAAGGCTTCCACCTGGTTGCCTTCAACTATCTAGAAACAAGGAACCTTACACAGAAGTGTGTCAGTTCAAGTTGCTGCATTCCATATACTACACAAAGGCAGACAATAAAGAACCAAAACGATTACAATGTGCTAGTAAAATAATATTAACATGAAAGAACGTGAGGGTTTAATAGATATGAGAGACCACAAAAAGTGAATGCATCTGCGCTAGCCATCAATGAGAACGATTTTGAGCCATATCACTGATATTCTCCAGTCATCGGTGTTTTATCAACCCGAAGACCCTAAACAGACAGCGATCTCTACACACCTCCCAATGTGACTGGCCCAGACCAACTGTCAAAGACGTCGTCGATTGATTCTAGTGTTTTTGGTTTGACCATCCCCAACTTTTTTTCAACTCAACCCTAAGAAGAAGACAGTTTAGGATCGGGACCATGCTGACTGAGTCAGTTTCGAATCTATAACTTACTGGTTAACTGTTGAGCGCTCATAGTAGTTAACTACAATTCTTGTTTGTTTTACTTAAGAGCTTTCAGGTGTTGGTTTGCAGGGATTTGATTGATTGGTTACAGGATTTCATCATGAGCTGACATCGGTTAGAGAAACACTGGAAACCAATACTGGGGTACTAGACAGTTCTGTTTCGTCCTTTTTCTCTGAAACTCTTCATCAGCACACACCCACTAGGCGCGATTCTAACCCAGAACATTCTGGTTACAAGGTAAGCTCGTAGACCATTCAGCGACTGGGACCCGATCCCATGGCCAGTCCATGAGTTCCAACTTCTGCTAATTCACTGTATATCGCGATTGTCACTAACCAACGTCATCGGTTGCGAGTATTTGTCCTCATACCCGACCTGTTGTACTCCATTCGTCACGATCTCGCCTTGTAAGTGGAAGATTCAGGGTTCCACACTCCCTGCTGAAGAGTCCCAAAGAAGTATGAAACAGATGTCTGGTACTTCAGTATTGTTTTCCATTGGTTCTGTAACCGATGTCAACTCATTATGAAATACTGCTAACAGTATTCATTTGAAGTATTAAGATCAGGCACTGATCGTTTCTCTTCGTGTACATCCTTACATTCTCCGTAACTTGTAACAACGTTTCTAATTTCCCTTTTTCTTCCTTCTTATCTTTAATTTTTTTTTAGTAAATACCCCCAAACCACCAGTTCATCAAGTGAATCGACAAAATACTACTCCAAAAGTCAGTAACACTGTTCATCACCAACCCAACCAAAAACCTGTTTCGTCGTCGTCGTCTTCTGCCCCTTCCTCCTCTGCTTCTTCTTCTTCTTCTAGTCGTCATACAACCCAACAACCTCCCAAAACACCAGAAACATCTGAAGTACGAAGAACAGCTAAACCATCTCATTCTACATCGAATAAACCTTTATCAAATGTTATCTTCACATTAAGTGGTTATCAGAATCCTTTGCGAAGTCAAATTAGAGATAAAGCCCTGGAACTTGGTGCAAAGTATAGACAAGATTGGACTACGGATTGTACACACTTGATGTTAGTTAGCCATGTGTATTTTTTTTATTTCCTCAATTCTAAATACTACAGTTCAGTTTTGAAGTAGCACAAAATCCTTATAAGCTATCACGTAAGATAATGAAGAGCGATTAGTAGAAAAATACGGCTAACAGTAACAATAATCAGTTATTAATACCGGTTGATTCAGTGAGTGGTGACTAACAGTGGCATGCGATTCGCTCCCGCTAAATGCAAGATGATGCTACAGGACTGGACTACAATGACTCCTAGTTTCGCAATAGGAAGTGAAGTGATAGAGCATGTTGACCGCTTCACTTATTTGGGAAGTACCATCAGCCAACGCCAACGGGTTGATCTCTGACGAAATCTCAGCACGAATACAGGGGCTCGTTTCGCATTTGTTAGTTTACGCCGACTCTGACGTAGACGAGATGTTCGACTATCGACCAAAGGGTGGGTGTACTGCTCATCAGTTCACTCCGTCCTGCTTTATCCCTTTGAGTTTAACCTGGCCACTGAGAGTGGAAGACATGAAAAGACCGGCTAGTTGTCTTCGATCATAGGTGTCTGCGCTCTATTTCCCGTGTAAAGTGACATAATAAGGTGAGCAACATTGAGGTTAGGCCTCGGTTGAGTGCTAGGTAAGGAGGGAAAATCAATTGACGAGACTGAAGTTACGTAGACTGAGATGGTTAGGGCATGTGTTACGTATCCCTAGTCATTGCCTTCCTCGACAGATGGGCAATGTTAGCTGATATAGGGTCAGACTGGAAAAGAGCTGACGGCGGTCAAACAAAAACATGGCACCAGCCAATGAAATCCACAACAGCTAGTCTAAGCCACGTAGGAAGGAGTAGACTTCCTGGTTGGGGTCCTCGGGACGGTAAAAACCAATGGTTGGAAAAAATTGGTGACATGGCTCAAAATCGTTCTCAATGGCTGGTGCAGATGCATCCACTCCTTGTGACTTATGATTTCCAATGAAACTGTTCTGTTCTTCCCTATTACTCTTCTTTTGTCTCACACCTCTGCTCACTGTTTCTATTATGCATTTCTTCTACTTTCTTCTCTTGCTTTGTGTGCTACAAGGAGTGGAGTGTGGCGACTTGAACTGCCGCACATCAATGCAAAGTTCTATGTCGAAAACAGACAGACAGAACAGTGGAATGCAGGACAAGGCGCGTTTCGCCCTGTTTAGGACTTATCAGATGGATGAACTTGCATTCCCCGGTGAGTGATAGTGTTCCCCCCCCCCCCATTGGGCTTCGAGCCTAAAGCGTTATCCACTAGATAGATCACTTAGACTGCTACCAATCATTAGGGAATGCAGGTACATCCAGCTGACGCGCGAGTCCCAAATAGGACGAAGTGTGCATCCTGATGAATTCCACTGCTAGTCACCATCTGCCGAAATTACTTCAAGTTAAGTTTTCAGACGTTGAAACATCCACACAAGGAGCCGACATGTCAAAAGAAATCGAGCACGTTGGTCTAATCGATCAACGGGAAAGTGCAAGTTGAATTAGATTAATACCGATTGTTTGTATTTTTGAAATAATTTTTTTTATCCATGAATAATCCTCATTCAGGCATTAACAAAAAAACAGAACAGAACAGGCAGTGTATCCAGTAAAGAGGCTCTTTTTTGGTGAATTCAGTCTTCTCTACAGCTGAACAATTGCATTTATATACAACCTCTTTTTCGTCAAAGGGGGTGGGTGGGGTGTAGTAATAAAAGTGATGAGTTGTCGCGTAATCACAGTTCGTTGATTACGATGCTGCTGGGTTCCCTCTCCAAAAGTTGCGTATGGTTCACCTACAAATTGAGTTCACATATATGTGAAAAAGGAGAAAGACAATACCTTATCATTTCTTGATATCCTGCTAACAAGAAGGCAAGGTGGTGGCAGTATTCAGACGGGTATTTTCCGGAAGAAGCCATGGAGGGTGGACAATACACTACACCCATATTAAGGCGTTTGTTCCTCTTGCATACAAATAAAATCTTATCAGTACTCTGATGTATGTATCGTGCTAGAAAAATCTGCACAACCGACACTCTAGACGATGAAATAAGGGAAAATAGAAAACTTTTTATACGAAAATGGATATGTCGAAAAATCTGTTAAAGTCTCTCGATGAGGGGAACAGATGGGAAGAAATGCCTGCCGACTGTGCAGAAGAAATGCATCCATGGTAGAAGTAGGAGAGACGACTTTCACTCGTCTGTTTCGATATTTTATCAAATCTCTAGTGAATGACATTGAACTAATGAGTTTCGTTTGCCAGGCAGTGTTTGAATTCCTTTTTTAATCCAGTACCTTTGAGTAAGTTAAGTACACTAGTACATCTATTCAATGTCATCATAGATGTACTAATGGACTTAACTCTAAGTCACTTCCGAGACTCAGGGATTGACTCTCAACCAGGGAATAATCTTGCTGACTTAGAATATGCAGATGATATAGTCCTTCCTGCTAGGTAAAGACACTGATAAAATACTAAGTCTTCTGAACACATTGACCTCCAATCTGTGAATGTTTGGTAAGCGATCTGCTCCCGCTAAATGTAAGATGATGATGCTACAGCACTGGACTACATTGATTCTTAGGTTAGAAATAGGAAGTCAGGTGGTTGGTAGAGCGTGTTGACCACTTCGCTTATTTTGGAAGTCGCATCAGCCATCCATAATTGATTGATTGCTGACGAAACTCAGCACAGATACAGAGGGATAGTTTCGCATATGCCAGTTTACGCCGTCTCTGGCTTAGTAGACGTGATATCTGGCTGGTTGTCGATCAAAGGACGTGTGTACTGCTCAGGAGTCCGCTCCGTCCTCCTCTATCACTGTGAGTGAGACCTGGCCATTGAAAGTGGAAGACATGAAAAGCCCGGCTAGCTGTCTTTGGTCATAGGTGCCTGCATTCTATCTCCCTTGCTAAGTAGTATAATTAGGTGAACAATATTGAGGTTAGGCATCGGTCGAGTGCTAGGTAAGGAGGGGAAATCAATCGACGAGGCTGTAAAGTTACATAGACTGAGATGGTTAGGACATATGTTACGTATCCCTAGCCATTGCCTCCGTCGATGGGCAATGTTAGCTGACATGATAGATCAGGTTGAAAAAGATCTACTGGTGGTCAGTCGAGGACATAGCATCACTTAATTAAGTCCACAACAGTTAGTTTAAGCCAGCCAGCCACGTAGGAAGATGTAGACTTCCTGGTTAGTCTTCGGGACGGTAAAAGCAAATGGTTGGAAACAATTGGTGATATGGCTCAAAATCGTTGTCAATGGGTGGCGCAGATGCATCCACTCCTTTTGACTTATGATATCCAATGAAACTATATTTTTCTTCGTCATTACTATTCGTTTTGCCTCATATCCCTGTCTACTGTCTCTATTATGCATTTCTTCTACTTTCTTCTCTTGCTTTGTGTGTTAAGTGAGATGTGGCGACTTGAAGTGCTGAACATGGGTGCAAAGTTCTATGTTGAAAACAGACAGACAGATGTTTGTAATATGCTACTTTAAACTCCTTCCCCAAACACTGGGTGGTCATATGTACGAACTCTGCATCAACTACACAGAGGTTTGGGTAGGCAAGCTGTATCGTTAGCCCTTATCGCCAAGTGCTTGGAGATGCGAGTAGTAGTTTAACTGACCAATACTTCATTTTTGTTCATATTAAAATTATAATTCAAGCTCTCTTATGGTAATCACTAAGAAAAGACTGTGTTTAAAAATGATTTTTACCTTATCCAAACTTATTTATTTATTAATTATTTTATTTACTTATTTAATTATTTTATTTATTTATTTGTTTATTTATAGTTGTGCGTTTCCAAACACACCGAAATTTAATACGGTTAAAGGAAAAGGTATCATTGTTTCTGACAAATGGATTACACAATGTTATGAAACAAAGAGTTGTGTCCCATGGCGTAGTTATCGTGTCGGTCGAGCTCCTAGTCCACCAAATGCTACTTCTGTACAGCCCCCTACTTCTAATGATTCTGATGACAATGATGACAGTCAATCACCTCCATCACGGTGAGTTTGTGTATCGGATTTAAATTTGTTTATTTCTAGAATAAAGAGCATTTGTTTTCAAAGAAAAGTCACTTTTTATCGTGATATTTGTGATATTTTCTGCCGATAACTGTTACCTGGATGTCGTAGTTAGTCGAGTGTAAGTGAGAATGCTAATTTACGATAATGAAGACTGGATGATTTCCCGGTCAATTATCCCTTGTTTCGAATTAGGAAAAAAATTCAGAAGACCCACACAGCAGGGTAGGAAACGTATATTTCCAAAGAAGTGAGAGGAAACGGTGGCTTTGTTCCATTTTCTGCTGTCCTCTTCAGCTGAGTTCATCTCCTCATCGCCAAACGATCTCCTCCGTGTTACCCTTGCATCGACTATCCACTCGAGCGATGGCCTGCATTGCGGGCGTTGTCATTCGATGGCCTCCTCAGTGGCGTGTACCCAGTCCATCTTCATTTTCTCCTACATATTTGTTGATCGATAGGTTCTCGGCTAGTTTCTTTCTGGCCACCCGGTTATCCGGTCTCCAATATGGAGCCAATGAAAGCAGCTGTTGGTAAAAGTCTGCATTAGCCTGTTAGAAATGGTTTCAGTGAGAGGTGTACGCTAATTTTCTGACCCGTTTAGAAGAACTGACTTACTTTGGCACTAGTGCCAGAAACCAAAATCTTATTCTTTGTGCTGAGTTCAGAAGATTTCCAAACTGATTTCAGGTTGATGAGGGTGTGCTACCTTGCCTTTCCGATTCTGGCTGGCTGGCTGGCTGGCTGGCATTGTCATTTTCATCCGTGCCCTTCGCCTGTCATTGGGAAAATGCTTCCTAGATAAATAAAGGAAGTAAACACTTTCAAGTTTCCCCGTGTTGATGGTGATTGGTGCTAATTGTAGTTGTTTTTTGGTTGGTTGGCTATCTTCATCACCTCTGTCTTCTCTGTGTTCACCTGGAGTCCTGTCTTCTCTGGCTGTTTGTTGGTTTTCGCCTGCCTACCTGCAAGTTTTCGAGTTTGTGTGACATTAAACATAAATTGTCCACACGCGAAATCCAGATCTTCTAGAGGTTTCTTATCGGTTCAGCGTATCCTCATCTTCTCAATTCCCAACGCACTGTCTGATGCATGATCCAGTCCACCACAATTAGGAGTATCATTAGTGGTATTAGACAACGCTTTTGTCTTCATTCTTATTCTCGCTTTCATCGGGGGAAGACACATTGGTTGACTAGTTCCCCTTAAGGCTTTCACCAGCCCGCATAATTTCACGCCTTCGATTCCAACAATCAATAAGTTTGTTTGTTTTTTAAGATTTTCTTTTGTATTTTTAATGTTTTCCTTGTGCGTTGAAGTTTCTGTAGAAGTTCGATTGATTTTCTATGGTAAGGTCGCTGGCCCCACGCCAAATCCTCCCTCTTTTCCCCGGGGTTGGGACTGGCTAGAAAACTAGTGAACTGGTAAACCAGGCGAGGCGACTTAGACTACAAAAATGCATGGTATATATTGATCCACTCACAAGGTTGAATAGTAGGCCTTGACTGCGTGCTGGATTATGATTGGCTGACGCCCATCATGTAACATATGATTTGTTCGGTGTGACTACAGACTAATGAGACAAGTTGTGAGCACATATCAATATCACAATGAAGGAACGGGTTGCCCTGGCTGAAAATGAGGTTAGGCTAAAAGTTAGACTAAAAGCAGTTACCGTCATAGTGTTTTGTGTTTACACTATGTTAGGTGCCTGGAAATGAAGTCATACTTCTGGGAAATAGGAATGTAACAGCAGTGAGGTGTTTCCCTATGGTAACTAGCATGGTAGTTATGCTGTCTCTTCTCTCTGGGCGAAGCGACCAGAAAAAGTCAACTTTAAAAGTTGTACATCCTCACTTACCTTGTGGGGGTTCATAGCCGGTGGTAAGATCTTTATATGGATGCAAATCCACTAATCACTTCTAACTGGCCTTATGTGAGTGGCCTCAGGCAGTTGTTTATTGGGCTCTGCGGTCACCCAGCATTAATGCAGTCCTTTTATTTCACATAATCAACTTCGATTGGGCACCACTTAGTGACTAGTGTAGTATGTGTCTAGTCCTTTGTTTGGTGCAGACTGAATTCTATCAGTCAAGTTTGCAATGTGGCCAGCATTCTACTCGACCGATAGCTGCTACCTTGACGTGGTGGTCGGGCTTGCACATCGCGATGACCCATGAAGCTGCACTGGCTGGAACCAATGTTCCTGCAGGTCCTACCATGCCAGAAAGGTTTTTAGGATAGCGATTAAGACTAAAAGCAGTTACCGGCTCACTGTGAGAATCTTTCTTACACTATGCTGGGGGTCTGAGGGCGAAGTCTTACTGATGGGGAACAGGGGTGTAACAACAGTGAGGTGTTTCCCTCAGATGACCAGCATGTCAGCCAGCTATGCTGTCTCTCCACTCCAGAGAGAGGGGGTTAGAAAAGGTCGACCCCGAAAATTGTACATCTCGACTTCCCCTACGGTGGTCCGTAACCGGCGGTAAGTTTACTAATACAGAACCAACCCCAGAAACCAGTTCACACAGGCTGTGTGTGACCGGCCTGAAGCAGTTGTCCTCTGGGCTCTGCGGTCACGCAACACTTTCTGTTTCAGGTACCCGAAGAATCAATCAACTTCCACGGTGTGGGCAGGCGGGAAGTAACAACTGCCCATACACTTCCAAAAGCACACGAAGCCTTCATGGAGTGTGGTGACTTGAACTGCCGCACATATGTGCAATGTTCTATGTCGTAAACGGACAGACAGACAGCATTCTAGGTAAATTGTCAACACGGTACACTTTGAATTGTTGATATTAGATGGTTAGAGGCAGTCGGCGGGAAACCTTGCTTGACCTAGGTTTTGTGCTAGTTGGAACTCATCAGCGAGGACTATCTGCAAACCTGGAGAAACCCACATCTACAGGAGGTCCATTGCGAGCCCGAATAGCTGCTCAGTGGTAACTTCTCCCTCTGACTTCAGCACTGAATGACGCGCGTTCATATCTCAGAAGAGGCATGAGTTCCTTCATGGCACATGAATGCCGAAGCAGGCACGAAATTTAGGTCCAGGTAGGGCTTCCTGCCAATCGACTTCAACCATCCAATGCTCACAATTCAAAGGAATCAAGTTTGATGGTGTGGGGATAGCCCATGATAAAAGTCACACATCTCTTTGAATCTTATATGATTAAATTACAGATTGTCTAGAAACAAAGCAGTTCATTACTTTTGAAATTATAGAATCCCGTTAGCAACTGTGTGACTGTGCTTCATATTCGTTTCCATTAGTAAAGGTGAATGAAATTCACCCTTATTTTTAAAGTGGTGTCTAAATCGTTGTGTTCTGTCCTATTCTAGGCCAGTAGATTCTTGGTTGATTAACTGCCAGTGTTCATTATTGTTTATCATTTCTCGCTGGTCATCTGATATTTTAGTATGCAGAGAAGCAAGTTGTTATTAAAAGAAGTCTCCAGTCTGTTCCAGATGCTTTTTTCGTGGGTGGCATCAGTACTCTTAGTCTCTGAAATATATAAGAAGCACTCATTCAACATTAATGTCGAAAATTCGCATCTTATTCATTATTCCAAGTGTAGTCGACTTCCACACTGATGATGATGATGATTTCAGAGTGTTGAAGGTCTTTTGCCTCGCCTCTCCTCATTTGGCTGACTTCCCACAGTTGAAATTATACTGCTTAGATAAGTGAGGAAGAGTTAACTCCCTTCAGATATCTTTTGTTGACGGTCACACAATATACATATCTCTGAAATAACAGCTAGAATACTGAAACCGTTTGATGAAATAGATATAGCACACAAACCGGTCAAATCGCTTAATTCGATATTATGCAAACCGAAAGACACACCCAACACAAAAAGGAGATAAAATTAATACCATTTACAAATAAATAGCATGTATGAACTGTAACAGGCATTACATCGGTCAACAAAGTGGGCGTCCCCTTCGAACTGCAATCCAAGAACACAAATCAGCCGTGAAAAAACACGATATATATTTTCTTTCATATCAATGCATATAGACAATTATGGACATCAATTTGATAACTGGGATAATGTCAAAATCTTAGACAGAGGAAACACATTAAAAGTGCAGTCAGGGAATTCCTAGAAGCCTGGTACTCAAATGAATATGTAGCTAATAAACACGTTAATATAGACTAAATATAGCAACTAATGGAAAGTAAATCATGTGACCAGAAAGTTTAAAATTGGAGTAAATGGAAAATGGTCAATATAGATGTAAAGATGGTTAGCGGGAGATGCAGTTATATCACCACTCATGAAGAAATTTAAATCAGTTCACTTTATGCTAAAAATAGCGCTGAAGGGGGATATTGCCCAGAAAATGGACGACGAAAGCTCCGCAACTAAACCAGCCAGCTCAGAGAACACTATTAATTACAAATCAACCCCCTGAGCTACAAATCCTCTCTATTATACCGCTTACATATTCTTTGTCAGTAGTATATATTATCTGTCTGTTTGTTTTCGACATAGAACTTTGCATTGATGTGCGGAAGTTCAAGTCGCCACACTCCACTCCTTGTAGCACACAAAGCAATAGAAGAAAGTAGAAGAAATGCATAATAGAGACAGTAAACAGATGTGTGAGACAAAGGAGTAATAAAGAAAAGCAAAACAGTTTCATTGGAGATCATAAGTCACAAGGAGTGGATGCATCTGCGCCAGCCATTGAGAACGATTTTGAGCCATGTCACCAATTGTTTCCAACCATAGATTTTTACCGTCCCGAGGACCCCAGCCTGGAAGTCTACACCTTCCTACGTGGCTTAGACCAACTGTTGTGGATTTCATTGACTGGTCCCAAGTTTTTGTTTGACCGCCGCTAGCTTTTTTCCAGCCTGACCCTATATCCGCTAACATTGCTCGTCGAGGGAGGCGATGGCTTGGCATACGTAACACATGTCCTAACCATCTCAGTCTTTGTAGCTTCACGACTTCGTCGATTGATTT